GCAATCCCTAACTTGAAATCCCGGAGGAAAACGGAAAAGAAGAAGACCAAATAACACACTACGTCGGGAATCGGAAACAGGCATGAGTAGGATGAATTCCAACTACAAAGTGCTGAAAAGGATTGCCCGTGACAGGGTTGGACTGAGAGTGATGGTGGAAGGCCTATGCTCCTCCACGAGAGGTAACAGGCGTAATTAAGTAAGTAAAAGCAATCAGTTATAAATTTCTCCCGTCAGCCTTAACTAAAAATGGTAAGTTCAAAAGTACATCTAGTGTTAGTAAAGCCCAATTTATATTTCTTTAGTTAACATCTTTAAATACTAGGAAAAATACTAAAATTATTCGTTAACCATAGTTCAATTGTTAAAAGACAGATAGTTAGAACCTGTCTAACAACAAGTACACTGTTTGTCCTAATAGTAAAAGATGTGGTATCGTAAGAGATTGTATTCAAAATAACTTAAATTCATACAACATATATTTAATACCAGGTGATTGTGTAGTTCGATGTTACTGGATAACAATAACAATAGAAATTCTCCTGATATTTTAGGTTGTTCAAGAGTCCACACAGAAAACTATAATGCACATCACCTACTGTAGCGGACAGGAAACCGAGCGGGGGCAATCGAATGTCCTTGACACGACATTACAGAGCGTCTCACCAAAATCTGAGATCCATACAGTAAATAGTTAATTTGCAAAATATCAATCAACTTAACTGTTCGTTTTGCAAATAACAGTCCATCGACTCAGATTTAATTGTTCATGGATTTTCAGGCGAACTACATTACGTCCCTGTTCTTTCCTTTTGATCTTCTACTGAATTCCATTCCATTCCTAACTATCTTTATATACTACTTATGTAGATATAAATAGTTTACACCACATCTACTACCCAATTAGATTTTGTTTAGATCACATGCTTATAAATTTGTCTCATACATTAATTATATCCACTACCTAGTAGAATGAAACTAGTACACTGTAAACAATTTAGTTGAAAAAGTTAATGCCTAAGGCACTTTTTTTTTCTAATTCGGCAAAAAAATACTGTAATTGTTTCACAACCCATTTAGTACATCCATTTCAAGGACACTTACCTTTTAGATAAATGTTTTTTTTATTAGTTTAATTATCCCACTATCTTTTTTCTCGTTACCTACCAAATACTTTACTGGTGCATGTGTTAATGACAGTTTAAACATTTTTTTTACTTATTTCATCTTAAAATTGTTCTAAGTGTTTTGATTGTGATACATCAATAATTTGATATAGATAATGCTGAGTGTGATTTCTAACTCTCTAGAAATCTAATAGTTTATCATGTATATGTAAGTTCTCATGATATTATCTTTCGTCCCAACAGTTGTTGCTACCTTGACGTAGTGGTCGGGCTGGCCTATCAGGATGAATCAATTCAGCTGTATTGGCTGGAACAATCATTCCTCAAAGTCCTATCATACCAGATAGGTAAGTTGAAGAATAGTAAGACTAACCTCAGCAAACCGAAGGTCCGTAGGCGAAGTCGTACTGCTAACTGTACAGAGGTGTGATAGCAGTAAGCTGTTTCCTTCAGACAACCAGCATAACAGCGATGCTGCCTTCCTACTAGGAGTGGGGTGGGGATAGTAAAGGTCGACTCCGAAAATGCCCACCTCGTCTTATCCCACGGATATTCGTCTCTAGAGTTAAGATCTCACACGACAATTACCAACAAAATGGTCATGTGTGACCGACCTCAAGCAGGTGTCTCTTGGGCACTGCAGTCACCCTCTCAGGTCACTAAGACCACCTCTAATTCAATTCCCTTCTCGGGTACCTCCAGAAGAACCCTTCCATTGTGTGGGCAACCGGGAAGTGATAACCGCCCTCATACCTCTAACAACACTCAAGATTTTATCTTTCGTGAATCTGATATCAATATTCCTATCAAAGATATATATTTCACTCATTTAAAAACTAAATACGTTTATGAATTTATTTTTTATACTGGCACAGCAACATATTCTATATTCTATCTATTTACTGAACACATATTAAAAACATGATATTAAATTATATTTTGTTTACTATATCAAAAGATATTAAAATTCCTTTCAACTTGTAATCCGGTTTAGTATTCTAATTGTCAGTAAGTCGATTATGACCAATGTAGGACCTAGCACAATTGTACATTAACCTAATTTGTCATACCACATTAGCATGTTATGATGTACTTAACAACATAGATATCAAAAGAGTCGAAATAATGAATAAGTATTTTATTCATAATAGTACATTTTTCACTATGTGTTATAGCGGAAATAATAGTTACAAAATGCTTCTTATACAAAATTTCACTCTCTCTCTCTTGGTATACAGCCACTTGATGCCTAACCTAGTTTATCTTATCTATCCATTTAAGTTGGTCACACGATGTTATATACCTGAACTCAGTGGTGTCGATTGTTAATCCAGATATCATGTATTAAGATTCTAAATCATCCATTAATATAGAAAGATCCATGTATGACATGTTTACCACCATTCCATGAACATGGTTCACAGCCCACTGAATACATTTGGATATAGTGACCAAGTTCTACCTAACTAAAGACTTTTGCTATGAATAGCTAAAGCTTTAAGTCTGAATTTCATTTGTTCAGTGGTTCAATTGAATTGTTTTTTGAACTTAACAAGTCCAGAAAAGGATATGCAGAAAGATGAAATTTTATAATGAATTCTATTTAAAACCATCTGATATATGAATACTTAGTATTTTACTGTTAGATGGCTAGTGATGATCACTAGTAAGTGAATCGTTAATCAAACTTTATCCTTGATGTTACTTTTTAGAGTGTCTGCCGCATAGACATGAAAGGTAAACATGAAAATTAGTACTAAATGTCTCTCAGAGTTACAGTGTAAAGGAATAGCAACTATCGAACTTGTCAGAACTGTCTGTGAGTGTAGGCTTGGCTGACCGATTCCAATTTACAGTTTTAACTGACACTATGCGAAGCCATGAGTTAATGTGTCTATGGGTTGATGATTTAGTTAGATATATTATGCAAAAACTCAATAAGTTAATAACAGGTAATTTTCTTAGTTCAAAATGATATGACAAAGCAATCATAAATATTCCATTTAAATGTGATTTACTTATTTTTAAGTTCAGAAAACTAAGTCACAATCGCGTAACTAGCCTATGAATCATGGGAACACTTGAAATAATTTTGGAAAACTTAATTACATAAATCAATGGCGAAGGTGAATCCAATCTTTGTGTTCTCACAAATTCTTATCTTCTGAATTTGTCATGTCCATTTTTTTCTCTTTTCAAATTTATTTCACTGGATTATACTCCTTCCGATTACTGCTTATACTCTTACAACATCTACTACTACGGGATTTGAATCGACAAGTGCATCTCTGTGCTAATGTGGTTTGGCAACTTGAACTGATGTACGTACGAACGAAGTTCTACGTTGTTACTGATTGACTGACTGAAACTATTCGGAGTGAGTTAATCAGTTGGTATGTCAGGGAATCAAATAAAAAACCTAATGGATTATTGGTTTAGAAATTGATGACGAGGGAAGTGTATTGGAGTTATAAGAAAATAATGAAATGTAGATTAATGAATTAGTGATAGTGTTTATACGTACCTAAATGTAGGCAAGTTCAAATACATTTATTCACCAACGATTTAAAATAATTTCGATATCCTTATCTTGTATCAAGTACACAATGTTTTAAAGCGATAACTAAAGAAGCGCAATTTTTTTTGAACCAGTTGACAACTATTGAAACACATGACAATAAACTGAATCTCAACATTTTTATGTTAAATTCTCCACCACCACCCCCGAGTTTTTACACATTACATCATAATTAGACAATGGTTGATTCAATTTTCTTCCATACAATGTTTTAGTTTTTTCAGTCTAACTTCACTTACATAGTAGTTCAGTCATATATAATTAATCTATCATTTGTTATCTTTGTTGTATTACAAAGGCTTTTTACAGGAATTTATGGGAAATAATGAATGTCAAACAATTTAAACCACTATCTCTTAATTCAGCTAACATGTTACTACCAAATGACTTGCTATAACTGAGATTATTAGATAAATTTACTCAGTTTATTCAATCATTGAAATTTTTGGTAGAGATTTGGCGAAAAAAAACGAGTGTTGACTAAATTACAGAAAAAATAGGTGTCTAACTCTTAAACACATGAGGCGAGATCGTGGATGCGCACTGCCAAGGAAGATTCCCATAATAGGATCAAACAGCCGTCCAGTACTTCCAAGTTTTCTATGCTGGTCTAGTTTCAATTAACTCATCATCTCAACTATTGAAATTACTATAATATCCACAAAATCCCCCTCTGATACTAATCTTACTCTTGTTATTATCATCCACAGTGTAAAAATAAGATTACGAAAATGAGTTTAAATGATATCAACATTTTCATCATTTAAAGATTGACAAAAATTGATAGATTTTGTTTGAATATACTTTCTTAGTTCATTCTCTTTGTCATTATGCGATGTACACATAGACGTTTAACCTGATTTATAGTGAAGAAGTACAGTATTTTGTTATAAATATTCATGAAATTTAATTACTACTCTCTTAAATTGATTCATTGGTAAAACTGTCGACTTCGATAAACAATAATATACTATAATCGTTTAAATCATGAGTTAATTGAAGCTAGGCCACCAGTGAAAACCTGGAAGTACTGGACATCCTTTTCATCCTACTGTGTGACTCTTCAGCAGTACGCACCCACGATCCCGCTTCACGAGATTGTAACCTAGGACCTGTCGAACTCGAGCCCGAATACTTAACCTCTAGACCAATACAGATAACTGAGGAGTCCCACAATAAGATGAAACGGTTATTCAATCCATCAAGGTTTTCCATGATGGTCTACCTTCAATTAACTCATGATCTCAACTATTGAAATAATATATATTAGATAAAAAAATTTCTTTTTTACTTACGTATAATTCTAAATGAAGTTTATATAGTTACATCTAATCTTAATTAAAAGGAATAGATGATGAATCATTCCATATATGTAATGAAGGTACAAAGAATAATAGAAATAGAAAATAACTTGAAAGATATTGAAGTGTAAACATATTCATACTATTTCAATAGTATACTCTATAAACCAACCAATCAGAGTACTCATTTCTTAATTCTTACTGGAGGAAATACTATTTGAATGAACCAATGAAATGTAAGACTTTCCAGTGTATTAATTTATCGATTTTGATTCGTGATTTTTTTTTCTTATATTTATAATTAAGCAATTATTATGATTCATTATAGTATTGATTTCCGATTTGTTCTAAGGTCAAAACAAAAATGATCAAATTCGAAATGATATCATCAGGAAGATTCTTTGATTAGTTTGATTTTCATGTAATTTATTTTTGAGCAAATAATAACACTGTTGGATATCGGCAAGTTCAATGGTTCGAATCTCACGAAGCGACGGGATCTTGGATTCGCACTGCCAAGGAGAAGTCCCACAATAGGACAAAACAACCGTCCAGTGCTTCCAGGTTTTCTATAGTGGCCTAGATTCAATTAACTCATCATCTCAACTATTGAAATTATTACAATCTCCATAAAACTCTTCTTTGATGATAATCATCATGCGCTCACTAGTGTCTGTATCCAAGAGTTATTTCCCGGAGTTCTAGTGAAATGCAGTGATAAGTGGATTTCAACCGGGTCTGTTGTGAGATAGTAACTTACCGAGGACAATAGTGAATATGTCGCTCAGTTTCGTAGACTGGTTAACTCATGATATCAACCACTGAAATATTTATTGTCAACTGTTTTCTTTCCTATGATCATCAAGATCAGGATAAAATCTTCATTAAAATTTATGTCTAACTGTTGTAAAAATTGTTGAACTTCACTGAAATCATGAGCTGATCAATCTTAGACCACTATTGATAACCTGGAAATATTGATCGGTCGTTTTGCATGAGATCAAAGATGCTGAGTTCAAGTCCTGCATGTGGGATTATGGATGCACACTGCTGAGGAGTATCATATTCGGAATAAATGATCATCCAGTTCTTCCAGATTTTCATTGGTGGTCTAACATTGATCAGTTCATGATTTGAATAAAATTTTACAAAATGAATTAATGATGAACCAAGTTTATGATGACTTGTGTAACTATTCATGTCCTGATTAATTCATTTTGTTTTGAAATGTACAAATGAAATCTTGATTTAGTTCATTAACTCGAATGTAAATGATTTCAGAGCTCATCTTTATTTAAAACTCTGATTTATTTTTATTTTTTGACTTGATAAATGATAAATTGCACTAGCCTGACTTTGTAGTGTTACAAATAACCACATTAGTCTGACTAAACATTCATCCAGGTTGTAAGCAACAAATACATCAAACTACTAATAAACTGAAATTGAATCTATGTAACAAGCAGAAACATTACGAAAATTGACGTGAGACGAAAAAAAAATGCTGTTAATAGCTGATAAATAACGACATCGTGAAATCCTCGACAATATGTAACATATGCTCGAAAACCCATGGTTTAACGTCCTGATCGTGCCGTCATGATTATAATGAGAATGCAGATTACTATAGAGATTTTCTCAGAAATGAGATCCTGAATAATTGTGTTGACAGAAGTTTTTGACTATGATGTTGTACTTGGAAAAAGTCACTTAATAATATTTATGTTTTTTTATGCATCATTCTGAAGGAGCATTACTGTTTTATCCTAGTGAAGATTAAATTATGGATATACTGTGAGAACTATTAATGGACTAATATTATCTATATATTCTTATGGTATAACTATTTAGTAATTAGATTATGTATATTTATATTTATCTTATTATAAGCTTCATCTTGACCTACAATTTATTATTATACGACTTACTGTTCTTAAATTATACTCAGTTTATTAATTACTGTCTCCCACGTTCACAAACGAACGAGAACCGGTACGTTCAATGTAGTTCACGTTCACACCCACTTTTTGGCTTGATCTTGTATAAATGTTATTTTCTATTTTATAGTGTGATACGGTCTGTTTGACTGATAAGTAAACCATATATATCTGGAATAAATGATTCGCATAGCGGAAGCTGTTATTGATGTTTAGGACTCAACTGGATGAGCTAGGCGAGCAAAGAACCAATAAGGACGCTAGGCTTATCAAACCGGTTGAACGTCATCGGTTTAGCACCGTACAAGAGTGAATAAGTTGTATTTCGATTGCCGAATCAATTACGTAATAACAAACGGGCCATAAAGTCACAACAATTACCATCGCTAAACGAGTAGTTTTTCGAAGTCTACAATTTATGTAACAAATTAAATGAATGGAAACCAACCTTTTGAATGTTAAACATCATTCAAAACCTTTTTAGATCACGTCATCAATGAATATGGGTGTCAACAATAATATAATAACATTACATATAAACGAAATACACTTTAGAAACAGAAACGATACCAGCATGATAGGTAAACAATATCACAAATCAGAAATCTATTTATTTGCTTACACCTACTCGAATTAATTTAACCTGATAATATGTAAACAGTATTTTATTGATCTACATTATGATGTAATACTGACTTTAAAAAAAATATTAAAGAATAGAGAAGACAAGACTGTTATTCTGATGTGAACTGGTTCAATTCTTAAATAATGCAAATAGTATCATAATTTAGATTCCTATTCAGAATATGAGTATCCCCCGAATGCCCTGGTACGGGGCAAGAGTGGGGAAAGTCAGCCCACACTCTCGAAATGCCCTCATATGGCTAAGTGCATACAACCACTGCCACACAAGTCCTACTCACTGCCTTCTCGAGGCATTACTGTTGCCTACGAAATTGAGAAGACGGAAAGCGAATGTTCAGCGATTAACCGGTTTAATGGATACGGAGGGTTTGCATAGAGAAGTTGGAAAACCCTCATTCCGAATCAATGGTTCACATGGGTTCAAGGACCCTAAGAAAACAAATGGCATATGAATCAATCGTTGGTCACCGGATACCATAGGACTACATCTTCTGACGTTGCTCCACTGTCTTCTGGGTTAGATCTTTAGGTCGAAGGCTCGGTATGTGGACCCCTAAGAAAACCACTTGTTTCGGTTTCGGCACCCAGGCATTATTCCAGCCCTCACATAAAGCGAATGACTTATGTGGCGCATTTCTATTTGATGCCTCCTTGTACCAATGTTTATATGTTTAAACAAATTGAATAAATCCCTTGGTTTACTGGTGGAAATTCAGCATCCCATGCCAATCCAGATTCTAAATAGTTAGCAAGTTATGATAATCATTTTCAAGTGAACCGATTACTTTCAGTCTACCTAAGCACTACATACTATTAAGTTTAGTCTTCTACTATTAATAATCCACACCCCTAGGTAATAATAGCCATAACCTGATCAGAGTTAAAATAGCTAAACTTAATTTTATGTTCTAATGAATTATTTCATGTCTGCTTCAATACAATTCAGAACAATGTGGTATTCTCATTATGAGTTTGCTTTAATTTCTTATCTAACCATCAAAAGATAACAAACAATGAAGTACAATTATGTACTATGGTGTTGTAATTAAATCCACTTACCAGAATTATGTGATATATTAGTACGATACATTTCAAACAAATTAATTACATATAGTGTTTTAAGAACATTTCTATATAAATAATTAACGGTCGTCTGGAGATATTGGAAGGTTTGATGATACAAAGATATATTAATGTGAAAACCTATGTGAAACTCATCATGCAAGATAATAAATCAATATTAAAAGGGTAGGTATGTTTCAAATTGATTTCTTTATTACAGTTGTTTCATTCTATCTTTTATTTAGTTCAGCTGACTTCTAATTTTTCACATAATATATAGTGGCAAGCCGTAACCAGTACAGTCCAGCAATGTCTGGTGTAAGACGGTCATCCATTTCAGACAATAGGTGACCATGCAATATTGCTAATTAATTGAAGTTAGACTTCTAGACAATTGGACCTCACCTCGGTAGTTTATGGGTTAATCATTTGCACACAAAACCGATGGCCTAGGGTTCGATTCCCGCTATCAGATTCGTGTATGCGCATTAATGAAGAGTCTCATAATAGAGTGAAACATCCTTAATGATTTAAACTATGCATATATGAATGTCTCAAAGAGTATATGTGTGGTCGATTTGTTCTAGATGTATTGCGCTAATGAATAAGATAGTTTTGGTAATCTTCGTCTTTTCATTTTCTAAATCTATCAAAGCGATTAATTATTGGAAAACCGATTTAGTTACTTAAAATTCGCAACTTGTAATTCGTTGAGATCCCTAAGTGATAATAGATTGGTCATTACTCTTCGGTGAGATGATCGTGTAAGCTTCCTTGAAAATGTTGTTCTTCCGTTTTTCTCTCTTTAAGTTTGATTGTATAATTAGGAAGTGGACCTCATGACCGATCGGCAGTGTTCGAACCGATCACAAAAGACAAGTAGATCTTGATCACAGAAATTAGAATGCAACCTAAATATCCATAAGATTGGTTCAATAGCAATATTCACTAATATACCATAAAAGAAGGACAGTTCCCTATTGTTCAAATATTTTGACATTTTACATCTTGTTTCATTTTAACTCATTATTTTTATCCCTGTGAATAAGTCCAACATTTTCATAAGCATGTATTCCGTATAAGTTGAAACGCCAGTCAACTGTGACATGATTTTCAATAGTTTCTTGGCAAAATTTAATTATTGAATATCTATTAATTTCGATAGTTGAGATCGTGGGTGAATCGAAGCTAGACCATCATGGAAAACATGGAAGCACTAGACGGCTGTTTCGTTCTATGGTGGGACTACACCTTGGCAGTGCGCATCCACAATCCCACCACTTCGCGAGATTCCAACACAGGACATATCAGTCACGCGCACAAGCACTTAAACACTAGACCACTGAGCCGACCGGAATCCAGTGGTGTTGATGTCTAACTCCAATTAATTCACGAAATTGAGTGACACATCCATCATTGTCTTCAGTGATTTACTATCTCACAACAGACCCAGTTGAACTCCATTGATCGCCGCTTCTCACTGGAACTCCAAGATACATCACTTGAAGCCATTCACTAGTGAGCATATGTTGATTAATATCAGAAGGGGTTTTATTAATCATAATTAAAATAACCCGTCTTATATATTTTTGACTCATCAACAACACTAGTTATATTATATATGAAAATTATGAAGTTCAGTTCTCTACCAAGTAGTCTTTTATAATGAGTTATTTGGCATGAATAAGAACATGGTTTCAGTTTGTATGGAGCAGTTATTAACTAGAAGGGGTAAAAACATAAATACCTCTTTCCAGTCCGGATTCATCCAAATGGTGATTTTTAGAAAGGACATAAGGTGGTGAATAGAGATAGGTCACGAGAAACTCTGGACTTAGCTCTCATGCTATTTGGCACTTACCACATCATGTACATGTAATCATGACGGATTCGATCCTGTGTCACGCAGATTAACAGTCGCAGATGTTTACACTGACATCCTGTAGGAATGAGATGTATTTACAATTGACTGATCACTGGATTGTAATAAATGTCATTTACTGATGACTACCTCTAACCACCACCTTACATCTCAACATAGTGCACGCGATGTCGAATCACATATACTAGTGGCTACATTACAACTTGATCCATAAAATTTGATCTGCACTAAAATGGACCTCACATACATGAGATTAGTCACTACCCGGTGATCAGTCAAGTGTATAAATAACATAATATGAATTCAGTATTTCACGTTCATTGAGTTTTATGGAGCCACTGTTTTTTTGTAAAAAAAAATACTGAGTGTTCCACTCGATTATTGATTGATTTCGAGCCGTAAATAATTGAAAATATTTTATTTATTTATTTATTTCAACACATAGATAATGGTACAAGGAGGCACCAAATACATATGCGCCACACAAATCTCATTCGATATGTGTGAGGGCTGTGATACTGCCCGGATGCCCAAACCGAAGCACGTGGTTTCCTTAGGGGGCCACACCCCGAGCCTTCGACCTGAAGGTCTGATCCACAATGCAGTGGAGCATCGTAAGGAGATGCAGTCCCATGGTAGCCGGTGACCAACAATTGGTTCATACGCCATTTGTTCCCGCGTGATACTGGAGCCTATGTGCACCATTGGTTTTGAACCCGGTTAAAGCGCCGGACATTCGCTTTTCGTCCTCTGATTTTCGTAAACAACACCCCCGCCACGAGAAGGCAGTAAGTAGGACTTCCCTGGTAGAGGCTATATACGCGTGGCCGTGTGAGAGCATTTCGAGAGGGAGAGCGGACTCGCCCCACTCTCGGCCGTACCAGGGCATTTGGGGGCTATGCATTTGTCAACAGAAAGTCATGAAGTGAATTTGACTGAAAATATAAGTCATTGAATTCTAATTTTAAGGTCCAAGTGGATCATGCTTGCCTCAAGACATCAAAGTCGATCTGTGGCGCGCGTTATAGATAATCCTCACAGAGTATTCCCAAACTAGTACAATAAACCAGCATATTGAGCAATCGTTTTGAATGGTGCTTCAAATGAAATCATTTACATTTACACGACGCTGATTGAATTTTCGCTCGTATTATGATTACCAACCCCATAGATTTTCCTAAATTGTATTTCAACTAATTTGAATAATAATGCTCCGCTTGTCATCTGATTCAAATTAGGTGAGTACAATACTGGTAAGTTTATAAACTGCAAAGAGCACACTTGTCCTTTGCTACTTAATCTTTATTGAATCTTAACCCGACTTCCCTTAATGATGAATCGTGATTTGTGCAGACAAATTTGGACAAGGTGACAGCAATTAGGTTCTTGATAATATCGGCCAGATTTAAGTATTTCCACTGTTTGTGGGTATACTTTAACGCATAAAGTCTAAACTTAGATTGTAAATTTCTTAATATATTTACAATTTTTATTAAAGTTAGGCTGTGCAGCCAAATTGTAAACATACTGTAAACACTGTGTTAATGATATTTCGAAGGCTTTTTAAACTTTCACAAAAGTTTACTACTAAAGAATGTTTCTCATTAGATAATTAAGATTTTCAACTTCTTAGACAAAAAGTATTTTCCGATAATTTCTCAATTAGTGTTCTTTGAAGAAAGATTTGACAGGCGTATTGTTCAACCAAGTTTGGATATTCTTTCTTATCAATCCAAAAATGAGTTTTGATAGGAAGATTTATTCAGCTGATTTATTTTAAACATTGCTCGGTCAGTTTTAATTCACAAGCGGATATTTTAAAATATAATTGGTTTAAAATTAAGGCGCTAGAATTCATTGATCTGATGATAACTTTGAAAAACAAAACAATGTTTAATGAATTAGTGATAACAAAAACCTATGACTTACATTAGTATCCGCAAGAACACTGATGTCTCGTTTTTTATTCTTCGAACTAAATTTTAAGTCATAAGCAAAGATGGATAGTGGCTAGCAGTGTAATCCAGGGCGCGCGTTTCAACCCGTTTGGGACTCGTCAGCTGGATGTACCTGCATCTCAGAGTTGATGTTCACTCTGGGACTCGAACTCAGTACCGTTCGCTTCTAACTCCATCGCGTTATCCACTTAACTACTAAGTCCTGATAGCCACTTGCTTGTGCGATGGGGTGAAGTTTAATTCACCTGATATTGTTTTACTTGAATCTTCCCATTGATGTTTTTGGACTGAAATTGATCAGTCTGTTATTGGTATATGTGCATACTGTGCGTATGCCTCGATATTGCCTTAATTTACAAGCATTATAAACAAAGATGGATAGTGGCTAGCAGTGGGATCCAATGGAATCAATGGGAAGATTCAAGTAAAACAATACCAAGTGAATTAAATTTTAAGTTATTGTTTGCTGCAGATTCATATAAATTAAATGACAAGTTAAAATTTCAGGTCACTAGATATTTTCATAACATTTGTTCATACTCTTGACTTATTTTGAAATTTGCTATATACTGGTTTACTCTGATGTTCACGCAGCTATCGAGTGAAGATCTAAAGAATCTACTAATCTATGGTGAATAGATTAGATAAGAAGAAGATGACTCAATGTGAGAGACCAACAAATTAAGATAAGTGCACATAATGTATAACTTTGTAATGAAGAAATATCAGGAATAAAATCATAATAGATAACTGTTCATGTACATGTCATCCATATAACTGTGAAAACATTACAACTCTAAAAAAATTAAGTACATGATACGAGGATTCCAAGTGGTAACGATGTATACAGCAAGTAATTGTTTAATGGTAAATACTGTTAATCAGTTTATTACTTAGTGCCAACTAAATATTATTCACGTCAAAGATTTTTCTGGATCATCTAACAAAGCATCGAGAAGTATCGAAAAGGATGTTAATTAAGCTGATAGAATAATAAATACTGTTCTATCTGCAAATTAGTTACTTGAAATACAAATATCATCGTTCAGTAGAATGGGCAGACATGTAGCGATTTGTTTGACTTTCTACTCATTACTTCTAATTTGTATAGGACTAGTGATCATTATTCTACTCTACAGTTTTCATTTCGTCTTATAAAATCCAGATAAGTACTATTCAAACTAGATACTGAATCGCATGTTTTATTACTGTTATATCCCAATGAGAATAATGAATTGTAACTGTTAGAATCTATTTCTGGACTAATACTATACTCATATTATTTATTGTATAATTGTCAAGTAATTAAATTATTCATACACGTGTTCCTCTTATCATAAGCTTTATTTTGACCTATGAATTATCATTATATGATTTACCATTCTTGAGTTATGCCCAGTCTATCGATTACTATCTCCCACATTCACAGCCTTTTTTTGGCTAAAACTTGTACAAATGTTGTTTCCTATTTTATGGTACGATGTGGTCTCTCTGGTTGGTATGTAAACCCAGTATGTTTGGAAGATATGATTTATATCGCGAAGGCTGAGATTGATGTTCTGGACTTAACAGGGAGGGCTAGGCGGGGAGCAGGACCGATAAGGACTCTAGACTGCTTGTACTTGATTTTATGTGTCATTGGTCCGGTCCATAAATCACTGCTCTCTAATTGGTGGTTTCATTACGTTATACATTAATAGGACACAGGGCACAAGTTATAGTAATTACATTACAAACACGTTGTGGAGCTTGATTATTGGGACGCAATGGTAATTTTTATAAAAACGTTCGATACTAATACTAATCAAAGGAATCTCTAAGCTGTTACATAGACCAAAAAACATTTGTGTACAAATTCATAGTTGAAAATATATTTCAATAAAGAGACTTCAATATCATAAATTAGTTCACGATTCATTTCACAGTAAGTTTACAGGTGATCTACAATATTGAGATACTCTGAAAATAATCAGAGTATGATTATTCACTAATCATTTACAACATATTTCCATGCCACATTAATTGATAATTATAAAGAAATCTGAACAATTCGAAACATTTTGTGACCCAGATCAACCATAATTACATAATCATTTTCAGTGCACACTCAAATCAATCGGTGACATTTATCGATTTGCAATTCATATCGTGTGTTAGCTTCAAAATGGTCCATTTCTCGAGAAATATGAGCGTGAATATCATTGTAGATAAGATAATTAGTCAGCTTTTGGAAATGAATTGAAAATCTATGCATTTGTTTTTGCTCGGTGATGTACTGACCAGAAAGTGTCATAGCAATCTGAACTTTGATTAGTTCACCTGATTTATATGTATAATTAACTTTGATTAATATTTCCAGGTTTCTTGTGAGAAGCAGTGACCAATGGAGTTCAACCGGGTCTGTTGTGAAATAGTAAATCACTGAAGACAATGATGGATGTGCCACTCAATTTCGTGAATTAATTGGAGTTAGACATTAACACCACTGGATTCCGGTCGGCTCAGTGGTCTAGTGTTTAAGTGCTTGTGCGCGTGACTGATATGTCCTGTGTTGGAATCTCGCGAAGTGGTGGGATTGTGGATGCGCGCTGCCAAGGTGTAGTCCCACCATAGAACGAAACAGCCGTCTAGTGCTTCCATGTTTTCCATGATGGTCTAGCTTCGATTGGCTCATGATCTCAACTATTGAAATTTGATTAATTAGTTGAGCAGTGATGTACAATATTCCCTAGTATTTTCGAATTATTTCTGAGCTTGTGTTTGCTGTGGTCATCAGCTTCAATGAACAAATATCGAATGGATTAGTGATTTCATGAGTTTTATTTATGAGAATATATGAAGCCAGTATCAACAATAGTAACGGTATCATTCAACGATGTTTTTTTAATTCAGAAGCACCGAAGATTATTTAACATTCTCAAAACATATCTAGTAAATAGTTGAAGTTGGTCGGTGTTATTTTTAGTCATCCATCAAACATTCAATTCATAATTACCTAAGAGGATCTAAACTTCGTTTTTCAAACAATTTACACCTCAACGATTGAATTCACTAGTCAATTGAAGCTAGACCACCATGAAAAACCTGGAAGCACTGGATGGCCGTTTCATCTTAATATGGAACTACTCAGCGGTGCGTATCCACGATCCCGCCAGTAGGATTCGAACCCAGGACCTATCGATCTCGCGCCTTAACACTTGACCTCTAGACCAGCGAACCTGTCGGTATCCAACGGTGTTAATGTCTAACTTCAACCTCAAAATCCCTCTTCTGATAATTTAAACCTTGTTAATTTGGTAGTCGGTTAACCAACGCTGATGATAATATCTCATCACGTTTATATTTAAATGAGCTGTCACCCTTGAAAAGGTACAGGTATCTATCAACAGATGACTACTCACGATTTTTCGAATCCACCACATGTCGAATTCAGGTAAGCCATAGAAAAGCGTGATGTAGTGCATGATTTGAGATGTAAAGTAAACCATAAAGAGACGGTAATGACTAGCTTTAGTTCTTTTAAAGTTGACTTGTCTATAATTTGACTTCATTTTTAACAGTCTGAGGATTTTTTGGATCAATCTTTTGATATGGTCCTGTAGAAGGATATTCAAAGGCTTTAGTATCATAATACTTTTTATTCTCGCGCGAAACCGAGGGTCCTGGGTTCGGGTCTTGCGTGCGGGATTATGGATTCGTAATGTTGAGTAGTTCCATACTAGAACGAAAAGGCCGTCCAGTGTTTCCAGGTTTTCAGTGGTAATCTAGCTTATATTGACTCGTAAATTCAACTATAAAAATCTTTATTTTAAAAAATACTAGAATAACCATGCGATAAATGATATTCCTAACATACATTCACACACACGCACACAAATATGTAAATACTTCTCCCATAAATCACCTTGACCGGAATGACATGAAATTAACTTTGGTCAGACTTTTTTTTGATCGATCGCATTAAATATTTTTTCTTTGTTTCTTTGTACTAAATTAACTTGGATTACGCTAATTTTTCTACGGCATTTGGATATTTCGAATATATTATTTTTATTATTAACCGTTAAGTAGAAGGAAACATGAGACGACTGTATGATACAACAAACAAGTTCGCTGGAAATTACCTTAACATAGAACGATCAGTGAAAAGCAAGGGAGGCAAAGTAATCACCAACATTAAAGAACAGCGAAACAGGTGGGTAGAGCAATCCAAGGAACTGTTGAATCGACCAGATCCACCGAACCCACCTAACATCGAATCAGCAC